TATCTTTATATATCCTTACATAGAGTAACAGAGTACCCTTCAGGTAAAAGGACTAAATCTAGAACTTCAGGTTGAACTTGGTGACAGGATGTGCAGTGTTCCTCTTGTCCACCAGGGGTCACACTGCGCTGTCAGAGAGGACCCGGTGACCCGGAACAGCTGCGGGTTGTTTTCCTTCCTGTTGCCGGTGAATGGAGCTCTGCCCCGGGATGTCTCTCGGCGGAGCCCCGGCGGGCCCCGGGCCCCGGGCCCTGACGGAGCGTGTGTCGGAGCAGCTGCAGCGGGTGGGGGGGGAGGTGTTGGGGCTGTTGCAGAAGCGCAGGGGCGGCGCCAGGTGGTCGGGGGGCCTGCTCCACCTGCTGCGGCGGCTCCTCACCGAGCAGCTGGCGGCGGCCGCGGGGCGGATCGCGGGGCTGTTGGAGCGGGAGCTGGAGGAGTGTCGGCGGCAGCTGGAGCGTCAGAGCCGCCTGCTGGAGGCGCTGCTGAGCCCGGTGGTCCGACTGAAGCGGGTCGGTGAGTCCGACATGAGGGATCCTAAAGTGAAGCCAAATCTTCTCTATCGCCCCCTGGTGTCTGGCTGCAGTAAAGGTCTTAAACCTCCTCCATGTTAGCAGATGGGACATAAACCAAACTAAAGAATCAAAGTAAACGTGAAATAAAAGTTTGTCAAAGATGTTTCTGTGGTTTCAGCTCGTTCTCATCTCTGTGATGTTTGTTCAAGTGTTTCTCATCAGTTCGGTTTAATCAGTTATTTATGAAATTAAAACGGGGGGAGACGTCATGATTGACAGCTAAAAAAATGCTAGTGCTAAAATGAGTGGAAACATGAAGTGATGAGATGTCGGAGGTTGAGGTGACAGTGACACTGGACCAACTGAGTCCTCTTTTATTTTGATTTTCCTTTCAGACACCATCATTTCATCCACTCTCAGGTTGACCGACTCCAACGAAGAGCAGACCCTCCTGTCAGAGGTCGACACCATCCTCCTCCCCACTGCCCCGTCCAGCTCCGCCTCCTCTGACATCTCTGCACCTGAAAGTGACAACAACTGGAAGACCAGCGACAAATCCACCACTAATGAAGACACAAACAAGACGGAGAGCAATGGAGGAAAGCGATCCTGCAGCAGGAGACAGTGGATGGCGCCATTAGACTGGCCGGCGACTCACAGTTGTGTTGTCTGTAGAAAACGTTTCCAGCACAAAGGAAATCTGGTGAAACACGTAGAATCTCATACAGACAATCCCGAGCTTCTCTGCGGCGTCTGTGGAGAATGTTTCGAGTCCTCGAACAGTTTGTTGGATCATATCAGATCTCACAGAGAATTAGGCGGCAGCAGGACGTGTCAGATCTGTGGCAGAGCTTTTCAAAACATGGAGACGCACATGAGGAGTCACACAGGAGTCAAACCATTCAGCTGTGAAATCTGCAGCAAGAGCTTCCCCCGCCCTGGAGCGCTGAGGAGGCACAAAAAGATCCACAGCCGGAGGACCCCCGACACCCAAAACCGCATGTTTCAGAAGCATCGGACAACCGAGGAAACGGACAGAAATCAGAGTGAGGACAACCAGGACAGTCAGACTGAGACTCTGAAACCAAAGAGGGACAAAAGCCAAACCTCAGGACTGAAGTCCTCTCAGTCGTCCTCACTCTGCTGCAGAGTCTGTGGGGATTCCTTCCACAGCCAAGGGTTCCTGAGGAAACATGCAGAGATACACTGCAGGGAGTCTCAGGGTGTCTGTGGCGTCTGCGGACAGCAGGTGAACTCACCTGACAGTCTGCTGACCCACCTACAGTCTCACAGAGAAACTAGTGGGACCTGCAGCGTCTGTGGAAAGATTTTCCAGAACATGGAGACACACATGCGGAGCCACACAGGGATCAAACCCTACAGCTGCAGCATCTGTAACAAGCGCTTCCCTCGACCTGGAGCCCTGAGGCGCCACAAAAAGATTCATACTGGGGAGCGACCTTACACCTGCCAGCTCTGCGGGAAGACCTTCACCGAGAGCAGCACCTTAAAGACTCACAGCAGGAGTCACTCAGGGGAGATCCTCGATGACGAGAACCCTGAGCCTCCGGCGGAGTCCCAGAACCTGAAGTCTGAGATGACTGTCCAAGAAAGCGCTAAAATTGCGCTTCCAGCGTCTCACTGCTGTAAAGTCTGCTGTGAAACGTTTCAGAGTAAAGACAGTTTGAGGAAACACGCAGCGAGTCACTCAGCAGAGTCTGTCTGTGGTGTCTGTGGTGAAAGTGTCCCGCCATCAGAGCTGCTGATAGACCATCTGCAGTCTCACAGAGACGCAGGTAAAATTTGTCACATCTGCGGTAAAGCCTACCAGAACATCGAGACCCACATGCGGAGTCACACCGGTTTCAAACCGTTTTGCTGCAGCGTCTGTGGTAAATCCTTCCCACGGCCCGGTGCTCTGCGGCGCCACAAGAGGATCCACAGTGGAGAGAGACCGTACATCTGCGAGTTCTGTGGGAAGACATTCATCGATAACAGCGCTCTGACGATGCACATCAGGAAACACACCGGAGACAAACCATCACAACGCGTCTCATGCAAGACCTGTGGTAAGAGCCTGGCATCCGTTCAGGTCCTGGAGGTCCACAAGAGGATCCACACAGGCGAGAAGCCGTTTCAGTGCCGCGTCTGTGGGAAAGCCTTCAGGCAGGTGGGAGGGCTGAATGCCCATATGCTGACCCACACAGGGGAGAAGCCGTTCAGGTGCATCCTCTGCAACAAGAGCTTCAGCACAAAAGGATACCTGGAAACCCACATCCGCTTCCACAGGAAGGAGCGTGTGTTCAGCTGCCACCTGTGCTGGAAGTCCTTCGTCACCAAGAACGACCTGAAGAAACACCAGTTGACCCACACAGGAGAGAAACCCTACAGCTGCAGGGTCTGTGGGAAGAGCTACCAGGAGAAACGCTCCAGAGACGTCCATATGAAGGTCCACCTGGATGTCCAGATCAGCAAAGAGCCAATCAGGAGGGAAGACGGCCCTCAGCCTGAGTTTATGCAGCTGTAGTCTTCACACAGATTGTTATTGAATCATCAGACTGATGGTGCGTCACGTAAAACTTTTTATAAAATAAGTTCCAGAATCACAAACCAACATTAAGTGAATTAGACATTTTACTATTTCACAAAGAAATTACATTTATTTATTTACTTTACTTTCAGATTATTTAAAAATAATTGTCTTCAGTGTTTTCAGGCCAAGTGATTCACATGCTCCAAAAAATATTGTTTCAAAAGAAAGTTTGTTTCTAATTCAAACAAAAGGATCGAGTTGTCGGGTCGATGAAATTAAAGCTTCAACAAGGAACTTTCAGTTTCAAGTTTCCTCTGTCCGTAAAAACCTCGGTCCAGAGTGAAAAAGACTCTGTTGTGAGTTCAGGACAAAAACTAAGACAACAGACACCTCAGCTCTTTAGTTTGTATAAATATAACATGAAGTTTACATCCTCTCCTCAGACTCTGCTCCAAACACAGACTGAGATTCCTGTACCAAACCACCATAAGGGGG